GCTGGCACTCAACATATTTCTGAAAGAATAAATGAGTCCCTACCCTCTTCATTGGCTTCCCTCCTGGAGACAAGGTCAGGCACAGTTACCCACTTTGCAATGCACTTTCCTTATTCTTGCCACTGTCACGTCTCTGGAACTGTGCTGCATGCTCATCACACCAGCTGAAGACAGTCACCGAGTGAGGTGGGAGTTGAGGGGTCTCTGAGCACTGGCTCAGGTGTCTCTATCTGTGTCCAATCAGGCAGGTTCCTTAACCTTTCTGAGTCTCATTGTCCCTCTCTATAGGATTGGGATGATAATGGCGCCAACCTTACAGGGCTGAGGTGGGGATCAAATGTGGGGTGGTCAGTTTTATGGGTCAGCTTGGTCAGGCCAGAGTCCCCAGTTATTCAATCAAATACGGAGCTAGTGTTGCTGTGAAGGTACTTGATAGATGTGACTGACGTCTCTAATCAGTTGAGAGAATTCTCAGTAATGCAGGTGGGCCTGATTCAATCAGTTGAAGGCCCTTAAGAGCAGAATGGAGGTTTCCCAGGAGAAGGAGAAATTTGGTGTGTGGACAACAGCTTCAGCTACTGCCCCAGTGTCTCCAGCCTGCCTGTCCTGAAGGCCTGCACTACAGATGTCAGACCTGTCCAGCCAGCGCCCCCTGGTCACATAAGCCAATTCCTTGCAATCAATCTCTTAATGTGGATTGGCTACTGGTTCTGTTTCTCAGGCTGAACCTCGACATGTGCAAATGGGAGAATCTATGTAACGTTCTTAGAACACGGCCTGGCACAGACAAAGAGCTCAATAGACATGAGCTGTTGTTACGGTGCCCTTAACACCATGTTGGGTGCTGGATAGCCATGAGCACATTTCCACCTCACAATGATCCAGGGTCTGTTATGCTCCCATTCTGCAGATGAAGCTGGGGTTGGGGGAAGTAACCCACACTCAGGGGCGGAGCTGGGATCCCATTGCAGGTAGCTCAGTTCCACGCCCAGTGGTCAACCACAAAGGTTCATGCTCCAACGGCCCTGCTGCAGTGACCGGTGGGGATCCCACCCTGGAGAGGCAGGGGCAGTGGCAGCCCCATCCATGGCCATCCTCCAAACCTAGCAGAGTGCAGGCACACAAAAGATTAACTGAGAATGGGACTGGATGAGAGAGACAGACATGGGGCTGAGATGGGGGGCCTGGACCGGCTCCTCGAGGCAGCAAAGCCTGCAACAGCTGTGTGGCCCCAGACAGACCCCTCTCACTCTGCGCTCCAGCCTCCCTGTCTCCAAGATGGGGAGAGGCAATCCTGATGGGCCTCGCTCCCAGGAGCAGGCAGGAGATGGCAGGGGCACCCGCATTCAGCCTTGCCCCTGGGAAGGACCTTGCCCTTTTTGAACGTCAGCATCCTCGTGGGTAAGGTTGCAGGACTAGCTCCTGTCTCATGAGGCTGGGGTGTGACCTTAGGGAGGCTTCTTAACCTCCCTGGGACTCAGTTTCCTCCCCTGTAAAATGAGCGTGATGACCGGACCGGTTCCCCAGGGCTACACGACTCAGCTACATGACTGACTGTTGACCGGATAATCAGAGGACTAGGAGTTTGTTCTGGGGACTCAGACCCTCTCTTTGGTGCATATGGGGCGTTCCGAGGAGCCAGGAGTGACCTGGGCCTAGATGGGGACAAAAGCATCCTCCTCTGATGGATAATGGGTCTTAGTGGTTTAGGCCATTTAGCGCCCATCTTTGAGCCTCAGTGGCCCCCCACTCACAGCCCCAACCCCCTCTGGGTTTATCTGTGTCCTGGTCTGGACAGGGAGTGGCTTGTCTCATCTCTGCGTCCCTGAAGTGCTCAGCACAGAGTGTGGCACCTGGGGGCCATGGGGAAATGTTTGCTAGATGAGCAAATGAAGGAAGAATGAGAAACAGTAAGAGAGAGACAGAAAGGGAGGAACGGAGAGAGGGAGAGAGAAGGGGGTAGCTGAAGTAGAGACGGACAAGGAGGTGAAGACAAGGGGATAAACCAGAGAGAGAAAGGAGAAAGGCAGAGAGAGGGAAGGAGAAAAGAGAGATCCACAGAGGGAGAGAAAGAGCAAAGAAGAGCGGTAAGGAGAGGCGAAGACAGCCTGGGGAATGGATGGTGTGTGACAGACCTGCAGAGGCATAGCTGGGTCCCCAGCATCATTCAGCCTCCAGCCTGGCCCCAGAAAGCCCTGGGACAGGTTTGCTGAATGAATGAATGAATGAATGAGAGAGTGTGAGTCTCTTTGCCTGGAAGTCCTGTCCCCATCTGCCTGGGAACCCCCACATTTCCTACAGGACTCAGCTCAGGCATCTCTCTGTGGAGCCCTGACCTGCCAGGCTGGGAGAGGTGCCTCCCTGGGCTTCTGCAGTGCCCACGCTACCTCCACCACCACACGTCCTGCTCTGTCTTGGGCCGTCTGGTCTGCTGCCCCGGCCAGCTCATGGCTGACCCACCTGCATCTCCCACACCCCCAGACCCGGGGCTGGCATCAGACAGCTGTGCAGTGAAGGGTTAACTCAGCGGGCCTGTGTTGTCCAAACCCTGCCCCTCCAAAAAAGGTCTGGCCCTTGACCAGCTCCTGGGAGGGGCCCTCCAAGCCCTTGGAGTATCCTGACTGATAAGGTGTCTTTGTTTATCTGGGAACTGTTGGGACGCCAGATAGTCAAAGCTAACAGTGTGATTTATGGGGGACGCCTTGGGTCAAGTGGTATCAGCTTGACCTCTGCGTGGGTTGGAGACTAGGGCATATGTAACGAACCCCAATAAAACCTTGGACACCAGAGCTCAGGTGGCTTCCCTGGTTGACAACACGGTATATGTGCTGTCACACGTTGTTGCTGGGAGATTCAAACGCTGTCTACGCGACTCCACCGGGAGACACTGGAAGCTCGCTTCTGGTCTCTCTGGGACCCTGAACTGTGTGCCTCTTCCCATTGCTGATTTTAATCTCTATCTTTTTGCAGTGATAAACGGTAACTGAGTATAACAGCTTTGCTGAGTTAGTCCTTCTAGTGAATCATCAACCTGAGGGTGGTCTTGGGGACCCCCAACACAACAGACATCAGTGAAGGTCTGCTCAGAAGGGGATGAGCTGTGGGCTCCTGTGAGCCTTCTGCATGGGGTCTCCCCCATGAGCTTCATGACTACCCTTCAAGCTTCTGATACATACTCTGGTTCAGAGAGGCTAAGTGACTGGCCCAATGTCACACAGCCTGGGGTTAGAACTGTGTCTATCTGACCCCTTAGTGCCCTCTTGTGTCTCTCCCTTGACTCTGGAGAAAGAAGTTGGCCCTGTAACCACTTTTTGGAAGATGATCCACTTTCCAATCTCATCTTTATTTGTGGAGCTGCTGAAGGCTCTCTGCCACTCCCACCCCACTGCCCACCCATGGGGACATCACATTATTCCTGAAGTAGGTCTCCCTGTCTCCATGATCCCCTACCAATGAGCCAATGGGCCTTCGAAGTCAAACTCAAGGATGTTGTCACTGCCAAATGTGTCCTTCAAGGGGAGGGGGAGCCAGCCAGGCACTGGTCCCTCTTGCTTCTCTGAGAGTGGGTTGGGTGACGGTTGAGGCCTGTTTACAGGGGAGCTTCACCAGGCCCAGCCTGTGACACCTTGTCTGACTCATTTCTTCCTGTTGTCTGCCCTTGCTGGAGTGCTCCGGACCCCCTGGATGCTTCCTGAGTTAGGCCTGCACTGCCATCACCCCTCCCAGCATGTCTGCCCAGCTCCAGCGGCAATGCTCCAGCTCCCCAGGAAGGACCAAGTCCCTCCTTCCCCAGTGCTAGCCCCTCGCCCCTCCCAGATGCTCCTTCTCCACAGCCTTGGCCATGCAGGCTGTGACAGCCTGGAGTTCCTTGTGGGCAGGGCCTGGATCTGACTCATCTCTGTGTCCCCAACCTGGCCTGGCCCATGGGAGTCTTCAGCGGATCTTTGTGGCCACATGAGTGAACGAATACCAGGAACATCCTCATACCTCGGAAACTCTTCCTCATCCTTCCAGACCCAAACCCCTTCCCAGTGCCCAGAGATTCTGTTTGCACTTGGCAAGGTTTGCGTTCTGAATACCGACATCTCCTTTTGGCAGGAGATGGATTTAGAAAAAGGGTGTCCCCTCCATGTCTATGCTTCTGATTAGATTCACAAATGAGAGGTCCACATATGGCTTTTCTTAGACTCATGCTGCTTTTTAAAAACATGGTCTCAATTACTGACATGTTTGAATTCAGAAATTTCACATTAAAATCTAGACTTCCGGATTCTTCTGAAAAAAAAAAAATCAGAAGTTCTGGCAATAGAGATCCCATTTCTGCTCAGAGGTGGGGGAAGGAGAAGGAGTTGGAGTGAGTTCACTGCTGCTAGGTGCCCCCTCTGGGTGGGGCATCTGCTTTCCAGAGGGACGCGGCCCCCACCAGGCCCACTGCACTCATTTGTCACCTGCTCGGCCCCGTGGGCTTTTGAGTTTGCAACTCCTGCACTGGAGTCTTATAAGATCAGGAGAAAATGGTGAGGGACAGGAACAGTTGCTCCGGGGACAAAGGGCCCTGTGACTCAGGGGTCCTGAGCAGGGCAGTCTTGCTGTGTGGCCTGAGGCACTTCAAGCCTCAGTTTCCCTGTTTGCAATGCAGGGGTGTGGAGGGTGGGGCCTCCCTGCAGAGAGACCTTGGGGGTTTCCTTAGTGTTTCAGCTGTTTCCCTCCTCCAGGTCTCAGTTTCTCTCTATAGGATGCTGGATCTGATCAGTGGTGCCCCTGAGGCGGCAAGAGGGTCACCGTCACTGTGGGTTCACAGTGCCCATGTGGCTTCTGCAACAGCAACAGCCAATTCCTAGCGCCGCCTCCCTGCAGCGTGCTCCACCTTTCATCGGTGCCCCTAGGTGTCAGCCTGCCTGCCCAGACCACCTGCTCCTCACGGGCAGGGAGCAGGTGTGTCCTAGAGTCAGCTGACAAGGCGCTGGGCACATGGGGGCCTCAGGGGATGTTTGCTGAGTGAATGAGTGAGCGCTGAGCTGCAGCCTCTGATCTTAAGAGTCTGAGATGGAGTCGCCGCTCCTGCTCTGCAGATCTGTGCAGGTATGACTGGGCCAGTGGATCTACATGTCTGTGAGGCCATGTTTGTCACAATCCATCCGGAGCTTCTGTGGCCACGGTCTTCTTTCTCAAGAGCCCTAGACTGAGGGAGAACCAGATCCTGCTGTTCCTTTGCCTTGGGAAAATCCTTCCCCTTTCTGGGCCTCCCACAAATGGAGGGATCCAACTAGCTCCTTGAAGCCTCTGTTACGGGCTGAATTGTGTCCCCCTGCAAATTCATATGTTGAAGCCCTAACCCCTAGTACCTCAGTATGTGACTGTATTTGGAGACAGGGCCTTTAAAGAGGTGATTAAGGTAAAATGAGGTCATTAGGGTGGGCCCTAATCCAATATGACTGGTGTTCTCATAAGAAAAGGAGATTAGGACACAGACACACATAGAGGGAAGACCACAAAGACACAGGGAGAAGAGGGCCATCTACAAGCCAAGGAGATAGGCCTCAGTAGGAACCAATGCTACTGGCACCTTGATCTCAGACTTCTAGTCTCCAGAATCGTGAGCAAATAAGTTTCTGTTGTTTAAGCGCCCCAGTCTGTGGTACTCTGTTATGGCAGCCCAAGCAGACTAATAAAGCCCCCTTTCTAGTATTTATTGTCTTCTCCTGGCAGGGCAGTGGCTGCCTGTGGCCCAGTCTGCCTCCTCTGTTGGGGCAGGGGCTGGGCATGGCACCCCTTGGGGTTCTCACTGTTCACGTCGCAGGGAGCTCTGCTGCTGGAAGGGGACCTCAGCTTGAAGAACCAGACAGATGCTCAGTTAAGGCCCAGCCCCGGTTCTCGGAGCCGGCGGCCACACACGGTGATGAGCTGGAGAGCTTGCCACCAGCACAGACCCTCTGGGCTCTGGCCCTCCGCAGGTCCAGGGGGCCCTGGGAATCTCTGTTTCTAGTGAGTGCTCCCTGGTGTTCCCAACAGGCAGTGGGTGAGCACTGGCCTCAGCTGTGCAGCAGCCTGGCTGGTGGACGGCCTGGGCTCAGACTGGCCCAGGGACTTACCTCCGACCAAGGCCCATGGAATTTCAGCTTCAGACTCCTTGGGTGTTTCTGGCTTCTCCAGTAGCTCTGGTTTCTTGAGGATCAGGGCCTCTTCAGCCTTGGGAATTTGACTCTTCTCCCACCATTTAAGCGCCTTCATTCTAAGGCAATGAGCCCGGTGATTAATGCTGTGCTCAGTCCCCCCGGTCCCCAGAAGTAGCCCTGGGCTGAGGGGTCAGAAGACCACATTTCCCTCCATTTGCTGGTTCTGAGACCAGCACTCTCCTCCCCTCAGCAAACGGGGATACGAATCCCCACTCTCTTGGCTTGGATCCTCTTCCTAGCCTCTTTTCTAGTCTGTCCCCCATGCAGCCCTAGAGCTGGTCTTTCCCCTCCCCTGTTCACAGCCCTCCCATGGCTCCCTAGCATCCCCAGGACAGAGTCCCAGCCCTCTGGCCCAATGGCCCTTCACGACTGTGCCTTTCCTCTGCTTCTCTCCCAGCCCCGTAATGTCTTGATATGTATACATTTTTTTCCTGGACAAATCTTTTTTGCACTTTTCTTCTTTTTTCACAGCTGTGTAGTGCTCTGCTGAGTGGGCATATGAGGATTATATAACCGGTCCCTTTCTCTCTTGCCCTGACGACTGCATGGCCCTGTTTGCTGGTCCCCTGCTTTGCCTAGTCTGGCTCTTCCCAAGCTGTTTTAAAATGTACCTAGGATTTTGTTTGTATTCCTATATGGTGAAGCCAATAGATCAGGAGACAATCGCCATTGGAAAGATAGTTTGTTACTCAAAGTTCTCAAGAAGAGAGTGCATGCCATACCACGCAGGGCCACACAGTGAAGCACTTGGGTCTGTCAGGAGGCAGAAGGAGTGAGGGGGAAGCATGGGAATGGACAAGGCAGGGTAAGCAGTCTTAGGACTGGCTCATAAAGTACTTTGCCCACCTGGACTTGGCTATGGTCCAGGTTGGGCCTGTGGCTCAAGCAGGGACAATCAGAGGCTTCTCTGGGATTGATATATCACCAAGAGGAAGACAAGTTCTCTTTTAGCTAAAGATGCTGAGATAAGAGGATGTGAACTTAGGGCTGCTGCTGGCCATCTTTCCCACTAGGTGGAGAGAGCCCCCAAAGATCAAGTCAACACAGAAGGAAGCAGAGCCAAGGGAGGGAGACAGACAGAATCTTGATGACATCATCTGAGTGCCTGGATCCAATCATGCCTGAAGTGTAGATACTCCCTGTTAGGGGTTGAATTGTGTCTCCCCACCCCTGCACATGTTGAAGTTCTAACACCCAGTACCTCAGTTGGAGATACGGCCATTAAAGAGGTAATTAAGGTAGAATTAGGTCATTTGGGTGGGCCCTAATCCATGTGATTGTATTTGGAGATGGGGCCTTCAAACAAGTGATTAAGTTATTATTTATTGTGTGTGTGTGAGGAAGATCAGCCCTGAGCTAACATCCATGCTAATCCTCCTCTTTTTGCTGAGGAAGACCAGCTCTGAGCTAACATCTATTGCCAATCCTCCTTTTTTTTTTTTCCCCCCAAAGCCCAGTAGATAGTCGTATGTCATAGTTGCACATCCTTCTAGTTGCTGTATGTGGGTCGCAGCCTCAGCATGGCCGGAGAAGCGGTGCGTCGGTGCGCGCCCGGGATCCAAACCCGAGCCGCCAGTAGCGGAGCACACGCACTTAACCGCTAAGCCACGGGGCCGGCCCAAGAAGTGATTAAGTTAAACTGAGGCTGTTAGGTGGGGTCCTAATCCAATATTACTAGTGTCTTTGAAAGAAAAAGCAAAGAAATTAGGGGTGTGTGTGCACAGACGAATGGTGAAGAGGCAGGAAGAGAGTGGCCATCTGAAAGCCAAGGAGAGAAGCCTCAGGAGAAACCAACCCCACTGATTTCTTGATCCAGCCTCTAGAATCATGAGAAAATAAACAATTGTTGTTTAAGTCGTAGACTTAACAGATGGTCAATATGTTCCTGTGGCAGATTAAGGATGGCTGCAAATTTTTGGCACTTTTTCCATGGAGAGGTAGGGTCTACTTCCTCTCCCCTTGAATCTCGGCTAGCTTATGACTTGCTCTGAGTAAGAGAATATGGCAGAGTGATTCTCTGTCAATTCTAGGCCTGGCATTAAAGAGGACTGGAAACTTCTGCCTTGGAAGAGATGAGAGGCCATGAGACTCCATAGAAAGGGGGAGGGGCCCAGCTGAGTCCAACCTCCATCTGTTCCCATCAAAATCCTGGGCATGTGAGTGAAGGCACCCCAGCCCAGCTGCTAGCTGAATACCACCAAGTGACTTCAATGAATGTATCAAGAAGCAGAAGAATCATCCAGCTGAGTCCTACCCAAATTTCTGATCCATGAAATTCTGAGGTATACTGAAATTATTATTGATTCAAGTCACTAAATTTGGGGGAGTAGTGACATAGCAGTAGGTAACCAGAACTGTTCCCTTTTTCCTTGAACTTGTTGAGTTCAGCTCTTGTCACTCACAGTTGGAAGAGTCCTGACTAATGTAGCTCATCTCTCTTAACTACCAGGGGTCCATTATCTCCCAAAACTTTTCCACCTATGAAAATTTAAATCACACTACCACATGCTCTGCTACTTCTTCTGTTATACCCAGCCTTCTCATGCTCTCATTCTGATCTCATGCTACTCTTCTTTGATCTCACAGGTGGAAGCTTCAGTTCCAAGACATCACATTCTCCAGCATCTGTGAAGACCCTCTTGGTCTCTCTCACTTCCTTCCCTACCCCACTGGGTACAAATGACTACCTACTTGAAGTGCTCTGTCCCTCCAGCCTCCTTGCCTCCCTTGTCTCCCACCTCATCACCCTTCCACGGCATCCTGCCTGCAAAGACCCAAACCTAGATCAATGCCACCATCTACTCTTTCTCTTCCAATGACCACTGCTGGGAGGAAACATCACACAGCAATGACGCTTGGTGCCATTAACAATTAATAATCTTTGGTCACTGCTGGACCTTCATTGCTGCTCACCAATTGTTTTCCTGGTCCTTGTACAGATCTCATTCATTCTCTAACCACTCCCAAGACTATCCCCACTGTTCTTAGTTCCCTACCCCTCGCCCCTGCTGCCACCCACATCACTTTCAGCAGATGGCCTTGCCATACTCCTCTACTGTGAAAAGAAGCCACTGGGTAGGAGGGCCTCCCTCCACCCACCCGAATCATAAATGCCACCAAAAGATGAACAAGAAAAACACAGAACATATGCCATTGGATTTTGAGAATAAGGATAACTGGTTGCTTTAGACAGTGTTGTTTCAGTGGTATGGTGCTGGAGAGCATATTGTAGTGGGTTGAAAAATTTAGGGGTGATGAGAATCAGGAAGTGAGTGTAAGCTATTCTCTCAAAAAATACTGGATGGTACATAGAGGGAGTTTGTGGGGCTGAGGTGGGAGAGATTTGGGCATGTTTATACCCTTCAGAAAAAGAGCCAGTAAAGAAGGAATGACTGAAAATTTAGGAGACAGAAAGGATGATTAATGGATGTGGAGGAGATGGATTCCCAAGCAAGGGAGGTGGGGCCAACCTTGGACAGGAAGAGGGATGCTTCTTTCTCTGAAAAAGGCAAGGAGTAAATCATCAGTGCCAATGGTAATAACTTGGTAGGTGTTGGGGAGTTGCTTTTTTCCTGTGAAGTAGGTAAACCTTATTGCTGAGAGTTAGAAAGGAGGACATAAGAGAGTTGGGGAAAAAAAGGAAATCATTTGTAATACTGACAAAATACTATGTTGGAGAAGGCTCAATAGAGGTAGATGGAAGGATTTCTGGGCAGGATTGATGCCCCCTGCCCCCAAGGATGGATATGCTGAAGGGGTAGGGTTCCCTTAGTATTTTCCTCGTAGAGACCTCTAATCTAGCACTTGTTCACTTGTCTATATCCCTGGAAAATACAAGACACAGGGTAAGAGAAAGAAAGAGAAAAAGAAAGTTTGACAAATATTGGATACGAGCCCCATAGTGAAAGGAAAAGGCAGAGGCAATATATGGAACAGTGATTGAGAATTTTCCAGAATTGAGAAAAGACACCAAAGCACAGATTAAAGAGGCCAAACAAATATAAATAACAGCAAACAAAAAATATATCTACACTTAATCACATCAGAGTGAAATCATTAGTGCTAATACCCCAAAGCCCAGATGGCTATGGGAGTCCTCAAAAGGCACCCAGCCTAGGTACCAGGTAAGGTTTTCTAGAGTACATGATGGAAGAGCCATGAGCTGAGTCCTAAGTGAGGAGTAAACGTCAGCCAGGTAAGAGAGGGGAACAGGCTGGGAGGTGAGGTGTGGAGAACGGCACCAAGCAGAAGTCACAGTACAAATAGAGAGGATTTAAACATCATGATTAATGAACTTGATTTAAAGGCTATGTACATGTAGACCGGTGCATTCAACAAGTGTAGAATACACATTCTTTTCAAGTCCACATGGAATATTTACAAAAACTAAACAAAAATTATGCCACAAAGAGAATAAAGAACTGAAATCATGCATAATATATTGTCTGACCTTATTTGTCTAAGCTAGAAATAAAGAAAAGAGGATTATAATAAAATACTGATGTGTCTAAAAAAAACCTCACGGGTCAAAAAATCATAATGAAAATTAGAAACATTTTAACCAAATGATAATAAAATACTTTATATTAAAATCTGTGAGATGCAGCTAAAGTCATGTTAGAGGGAAATTTATAGCCTTAAATGCAAATATTGGAAAAGACGAATGGGTGAAATTTAATGATATAAGAGACCATATCAAAAGAGCAGACAAAGGAGAATAAACTTATAAGGAAAGAAAGAATTATAAGGATTATAAGGAAGAAGAATTATAAGGAAGGAAATAAAGAGCATAAATAAACATAGTCGGCTTTGGGAAAGGCTTTTAGCTTGATACTCACGCAAGGAGGACAAGGAAGAAGAAGAGCAGTGCAGATGCAATGGATCCATACACAATGCCCTGGATCAGCCCTTTCATGAACGCATTGGAAACTGAATTCTTATCTGGAATCAGAGGGAAGTGAAAGTCGTTTTTCTCCTAGGGCTGTGAAGTCTGAACTACTATTCTTTCCTCTGGCCCTGTGCCCATCCTCATCCTGGTCCCTAGGTGGTGTTGTTCTAGCCCAGTCACTAGACCCCTGTATACTTACCTGGTATAAGGAAGATGCTTGAAGTATGGATTCCATATTGGTTCTTCCCCTCACAGCGGAGACTCATGAGTATTTCTGGCTCCCCGAGGAGGTTGATGGTGCTGTTGGCCCAGGGGGCAATTATGGTGGAAGTCACCTGGAGGATGTTACCCATGCTGTTCACACCCACAGGAACACCTTTCATCAACCACTGCACAGAGGGTGTGGGGATCCCATAGAAGGAACAGCTGCACTGCAGAGTCTTCTCCAAGGAACAAGAGGAATAGAGCAGCCTGGCAGGTGCTGTAGGGAGGGAGAGTCAGGAGACAGCAGGGAATCCTGACTTCCTTCTCCACTTCCTCCAGGACCCAGCCTTCTTTTTATTCGTGATTCACAAGGAGCTTTGGAAAGACTTTCTGGAGGCCCAGAGGGGCTGGGACTCAGAGCAGTTCCCTTTCATCCTCTCTCCTCACTTGACTGGGTTCAGCTCTCACCTCTGGCCTTTCAGCCCCAGGAGCCAGGGAAAGACGTGACTGCTTCCCAGACTTCTTCCTCCCTCTCTCCCTGGACTCAGGAATTTCTCTTGGCCCTACCACTTCTGCCAGACTCTGAATCTTCCCTTACCCGTCAGCACTCACCGACCAGCTGGAGCGTGACCATGCTACTTTTGGCCAAGTTAGTTAGGAGAAGTTCAAATGACATCTGAGGGTGGTGCCATGGTCCTCAGGCTTCGGGGTGAAGTGCAGCACTGAGGAGGAGGAGGAGTTCCTGGAGCCGTCTGTGTTGGATGATGTGGTGGGCCTTTCCCAGGAGAGGAATGGTGCTTTGGTTTCTTTGCAGGTGCCTTTGATGATACAGGTCAAGGTCACAGACTCGTCAGCTACAAGAATCTCTGGGATGTGAAGCTCTGGTTTCTGGGTCAGGTCTGGAGGACAGAGACAGATTGCAGCCCAACCTTGGAGACAAGGGACCCTCATGGACACTTCGCTGATGCACAGTGTTTCCAGGTCACAGAGTGTTTTCCTACCCATTAGCTCATTTGGTACCCCTCCCACACTCTGACAACTGTGTGGAACCTGGGATTGTTATTCTTGGTTGGCTTTTTACAAGTATATTTGCATGGAAGGGGCACACCCCATTGTCTAGCTTAGCAAACTGAAGAGACTTGCTTAAGGTCACAGAGCTTGAACCAGACCCTGGACTTCCAAGACTGAGAGTGAGTGAATTTCCTGAGTATCTACATTGCCTATGATCCCTTACCTGTCCCCTAGCCTAGAGTTCCTGGGCCCAGCTCCTACTGTGCCTCCCTCCCTCCCAACCCAACTCTCCTCTTAGGTTCTGCCCCTTCCCAGCTGATCTGTAATCATTTACGTCTCCATCTCTTACTGGCTGCACGCTACTGGCTAAGTCACTTCCCCTCTCTTTGCCATTTCTATTTGGAAAAATAGTTATCAACTCTACCTACTGCATTGTATTATTGTTGTAAAAATGAAATAACCATGGTTTTCTAAAGCCCAGTGCCCGGTGAAGTAAAAGCCACATAATTACCAGAACCCCTTCAGCAGTTCCTTGTTTCTAAACCACCCATTGCATGAGATTGAATGTCATGTGACATGGAAAAGTTTGATATTCTCCCTCAGGAAAACACTCTTGTGTTCTCCTAGATCTGCATAGAATAAATATGCTGTTCTTTTTGAGTATATTGTGGATTAGCAGGGTATAGTCTTGTTCCTCAAGATTCCAAATAATGTGGAATCTGGCCTTGGTATTATCATCTATGGTAGTATTGGGTTGATTTGTGGCTACAGGGGAGGTGGTATTTTTATTGAGCCAGTAGGCCATGTCATGCAATTGACTGGGGATTCTTTTGGAAATTCAAATATGCAAGAGACTGTAGTGCACAGGCCCTTTTCCATCAGTAACTTCTTGACTTCCATCAAAACATGAGAAAGTAACCCTGTGGGGAGAGATTCAAGTTGAAAAACAGAGTTATCTAGTGTCTCCCAGTATCCCACCAGTGCATTAAAGGATTAACTTTACCCTAGAAAGGTTTGGCCCTTGCCCAGCTCCTGGGAAGTAACCTCTAAGCCTTTGGAATATCCTGCCTGATAAGAGAGTCTTGGTTCACCTGGTGCCACACCAGATAGTCTATGTAACAATGTGATTGATGGTGGGGCCTTGGACCACATGGTATCAGCTTGACCTCTGGAGGGGCTGGAGACTAATGTCACCCATGGGGGTGATCAACCATGCCTACAGGACCACAACCCCAGTAAAAACCCTGGACACCAATGCTCGGTGAGTTTCCCTGCTTGGCAATACTGTGCATGTTGCCACACATTTTGCTAGGAGAAGTAAGCACTGTCTGCACAGCTCCACTGGCAGAGACAACTGGAAGCTCGTGCCTGGTCTCTCCTAGACTCTGCCTTATGTGCCTCCTCCTTCTGCTGATTTTAATCTCAATTCTTTTGCTATAATAAACCTTAACTATGAAATAATTGTGCTGCTGAGTTCTGAGTCCTTCTTGCGTGTGTTTACTCCGGCCACTCCTTCTGTAACTCTCTCTTCTGCCCACATTCAAATCCTACCTCTTTTTCCAAGTCCTGGTCAAATGTAACTTCCTTCTGGTAGCCTTCCAGGATCTCTACAACCACAAAGAAGCCTTCTTTCTCAGCCTCTCTTCAGCATCCCTATCCGTCCATCTCTTTTATGGCAATGTCTCAGGCAGACCCCGAGAGTTGCTTACATATATGCACTCTCCTGGATCTCCTTATTATTTCAAATTTTTTCTGGTGATCAAGTCTCCAGTCTAAAAAAAACCCTCTATTTCCCCATCTCCTTCATGTCTAGGGGTGGCCATAGGACGTAGTTCTGGCCAATGAGCCAAGTACAAGAAAAACGCTATTAAATTATTATCAGCAAATAAAAGCCTATTCAGCCTTTACCCCATTTTTTTGCCATCACAATTGAGCTCTGAAAGTCTGGGTTTTGTTTTGCATATAATACTAACTAATGAAATTCTAGAGCCTGGCTTAAAAAAAAACATGTTTTCAAAATAAAAGAAAAAAGTGTCAGAATTGAAAGAGATGTTCCCTTCCCCTGCAGCTAAAAATCAAAAGATATTGTTCTGTATTATAAGAGGGTTCAAGGAATCTGATTTGATACTGTGCAAAACTGAGAATGTTTAAAAGAATATAACTTATGTTCTCCTCTACGATATACAGTTTTGTATGAATATTCATGACTGTTACTGACTTGTTCTGTTCTCTGTTAATACAAATCCTCCCTTAGAAGAGCAATTTAAACAAAGTGATCCAATGAGATGCCAACGATGTTAGAAATTATTTCATGTCTTATGAAAACAATACTCAAATAAAATGGAATTCTGACCAGTTGTCGTCTTACTTGATAGTTTCTTGTTTTGGTAACAATAACATTGTAATTGATGTCTCTATTTTCCTAAACTGTATACCTGTCTGTAGTCTTCTCTTTTCCCACGTGTAGAGTGCAAAAATAAACACCTTGGACTCTTCTAGATTTATTATTAATCAAATATTTTGAGAGAATTGTCTACTTAAAATACCAAATACATGTGAGGCTATCTGCTGGAGACTTTTGGGAATTCTGTTTTTCTGATATTGGCATCACTGCTTTCTCCTTGGCACTTTCTTCTTTTTCTTCCCTAGAATATGGATGCGATACTGGAGGTGGAGCAGCCATCTGGCAACCATGAGATAACCGTGAAGATCAAAGCCACAGGCTGACAACAGCATAGGGATCCTGGTTCTCTGACAGCCTTTTGGAGCTGCTACACCAACCCTGCACAGCCTACTGCCATGCTTATTCTTCATTTGATTGTTGTTCTAGCAAGGAAACTGATGAAATATCTTACCAGGGAATCTACCCAAGAGCGAGCTCCTTGAGAGAAGACCCTGCATCAAATAGATCTTTGTGTCCTCCACAGTACTTAGAAAGGTTCTTGTCTGATAAATATTTGCTGAAAAAAATATACAAGCACAAGTCTCTCCTTTCCGGGTACTCTCTTTCCTGGTTTGTGAAGAGCATTCGCCTGGAACTGGGATAATTGAGTTTGAGCCTCAGCTGCTCGTTGTGCCGGGCACTGCTTTCCGGCTGATCCAGTGGACCACAGGTTGAGATTCCCAATCATGTTCTCTCTTTCTGGCACCACTATAAAGACCAGAAATCGGGCCGGCCCCATGGCTTAGTGGTTAAGTGCGCGTCCTCTGCTGCTGGCGGCCCAGGTTCGGATCCTGGGCACACACAGACGCACCGCTTCTCCGGCCATGCTGAGGCCGCGTCCCACGTACAGCAACTAGAAGGATGTGCAACTATGACATACAACTATCTACTGGGGCTTTGGGGGAAGAAAAATAAATAAACAAAATTATAAAGGCCAGAAATAAACACTCACTTTCCTAGCTTTCCTTGCAGCTAGGGGTAGACACATGACATAGTTCTGATCAATGTGATGCAAATGGAAGTCTGCTGGGGATCTGAAAATATTTTTAAAAATCATCCTTATTGAGGTATAGTTTACATCAAACAAAAGGTATCCATTTTATGTCCAGGGTCCAATGAATTTTGACAAACACATGCACACATTTAATGACCACCCTAGTCAAGCTATAAGAATGCTTCCATCAACCATTTTTTGGGCTAGTATATAGAAATAAAATTGGTTTTTGTACATTGACCTTGTCTCCTGGAACCCTATTAAACTCACTCATAAAATCTAGTAGATTTTTTTTCTGCGTATTCTTTAGGATTTTCTATGTAGACAACCATGTTATCTGTGAATAAGGACAGTTTTATTTCTTCCTTTCCAATATCCAATTCCTTTCCATTTATTTCTTTTTCTTGCCTTACTACACTGGCAAGGACCTCCAGTACAATTTTGAATAGGGTGAATAAAATAGAGTCAGCGTACATCCTTACCTTATTCCTCATCTTAGGTGGGAAGCGTTTAGCCTTTCATGGTTAAATATGACGTTAGTTGTAGGTTTTTCATAGATACACTTTATCAGGTTGAGAAATATCCTTCTCTAGAATTTGCTGAGAGTTCCTTTTTTGTTTTTGTTTCTTTGGTTAACATGAATAGAGGTTGAGTTTTGTCAAATGCTTTTTCTGTATCTATTGAGATGATGATGATCATACAGTTTTTCTTTGTTGATGCACTGATTGCTTTTCAAATGTTTAATCAACCTTGCATTCCCGGGATAAACCCACATGATCACAATGTATTATACTTTTTTATATTTTGGGTTTGATTTGATAATATTTTTGTTGAGCATTCTTGCATCTATCATCACAAGGCATATTGATTCACAGTTTTCTTGTAGTTCTGTGTCTGGCTTTGATACCAGAGTAATGCTGGCTTCATAAAATGAGTAGGAAAGCATTCCTCTTCTTCCATTTTCTGGAAGAATTGTATATAATTGGTGTTATTTCTTCCTTAAGTGTTTGGTAGAATCCACCAGGGAAGCCTTCTAGGCCTGGAGTCTTATTGATGAAAACATTTCTAACTATAAATGCCATTTCTGTAATAGTATAAGGCTCTTCAGGCTATCTACTTCTTCTTGAATGAAATATGGTCATTTGTATCTTTTAAGGAATTCCATTCTATCTAAATTATCAAATTTATTGGCGTAAAGTTGCTCATACATTCCCTTACTATCCTTTAAATGTCTTTAGGATCTGTTGTTATAGCCACTCTTTCATTCCTGATATTCATAATTGGTGTGTTCTTTTTTTTCTTGATCAGTTTACTCAAGGTTTATGAATTGAATGCTTTTTAAAGAACAAGGTTTTGATTTCATTGATTTTTCTGTATTTCTTCTGTTTCTAATTTTGCTGATTTCTGTTTTTTATTATTTATTTCCTTCTGCTTGCTTCAGGTTTCTTTTATTTATTTTTTTTTTTAGTTTCTTAAAGTGGCAACTCTTATCATGGATTTGAGCCCTTTCTTCTTTTCTAATATAAGCACTGCCTTAGTGGCATGTCAAAACTTTTGGTATACTGTGTTTTAAAATATATTCAAATCTAGTATTTTCTAATTTCTCTTGTACTATGGGCTGAATTGTGCCCCCAGGAAAAGAAATATTGAAGCCCTATTCCCACATACCTGTGAACGTGACCTAATTTGAAATAGGGTCTTGCAGTTTACCTTTGTAATCAGGTTAAGGGTGGGCCCTAATGCAATACTACTGGTGTTCTTATAAGAAGAGGAAAATTTGGATGCAGAAACACACAGGAAGAAGGCCATGTGAAGAAGGAGGCAGAGACTGGAGTGACGCATCTACAAGCCAAGGAATACCAAGGATTGCCAGTCATCATCATAAACTAGGAGAAAGGCATGGAACATATTCTCCCTCAGAAAGAATCAACCCTGCCAACACCTTGATTTTGGACTTCTGGCCTCCAGAACCATAAGACAATATATTTCTGTTGTCTTAAGCCACTCAGTTTGCAGTACTTTGTTATGGTGGCCCTAGAAAACTAATACACCTTGTGATTTCTTTCTTTGATCCATTAGTTGTTTAGAAGGGCACTACTTAATTTCCAGATATTTGCTGATTTTCTAGCTCTCTGTTATTAATTTCTAGTTTAATTCCATTGTGGTAAAAGAATATACCTCATATGATTTCAATTATTTTAAATTTGTTGAGGCTTGTTTTATGGCTCAGAATATGTGCTATGTTGGTAAGTGTTCCACAAACCCTTGAATAGAATGTGTATCCTACTATTGTTGGATGAAATATTCTATAAATGTCACTTAAGTCAATTTTGTTGATAGTATTTTATATCCATACCAATTTTTTCATCTATTTGCTCAGTTACTGAGAGGGGAGAGTTGATGTGTCTAGTTCTCCTGTCAGTTAGATTAGGTGTTTTTTTAAAAATTTTTGAAATAAAAATTTTAGTTAGTAATTAATTCTCAGAATCTAATTATTTCAGGGAATATAGTGATTTACTTACAACCTCAAATTGAAGATTGAAAAGAGCTCTGGGGTGGTTTCAGCCAGGGCTTTGCAGTAACTCACTTTAGGCAAGTGCTGTACCCTCTCTGATTTCCCCTCATTTTCCTCATCTGTAAAATCAGAGAGTTTTATTGCCCAGTATGTAACAGCCCTTCAGACTTTAACCCTCTGATCTCTTCCAAGTCTCATTCCCTTCCCTAGGCCTTGGCACATCCATGGGTTATCTCCACAGGCAACCTCTTTCTCCTCCCCCTAAACGATCAAGTCCTTTTCCAAATTTACCTCCTCCTCTTGTGTTCCAGGAGTTCCAGACTGGACCTTCCTCAGCACTTCTCCATCTGGCTATTTCCTTGAAAACTGAACGTCCTCCTCGACTTTGGCTGAGTGCATCAAGTGACTGACTGGCTGACTTACTATTATAGAAACACTAACTGGAGAACTTACTTTCCAGAAGGATGTATCGTTGGACTGATTTAACGTCTCAGGACAAGCCCGAGGAACTGACGGACACGTGGAACAACTGTGTGCACAACAACTGAGGGACTCACTGGGAAGTGACTAACGCAGAGGAAGGCTAACTGATTAGCAGTCTTATAACCAGCTCGTTAGGCGGCCCGGGAGCCCCCGAGCCTCACCAACGTCCCATCAGCCAGCAGTCACACGGGATACCTGACCCCCGTGAAACCCCGCCCCACAGGTGCTCCAAGGAGCACGCGCGAATCCTTCCAGAGCCAATCAGGGCCTGAGGATGCGCGCGGGAGCTGCTGGGCCGGGGCGCGGCGCGCGTGGCGGGAGGACCTCGAAGGAGAACCGGTCGGTCTGCAGCATCTCAACCAGTCCAGAGCAACCGTCATTACAGGGCTCCCTGGGCTCTACTGGAGCACCACCCTCGGCCATCGGGAGAATCGTCTTTCTTGAGCAGGCGGTTCTAGATCCCCGCTAGACCTCAAGACTGCGGGCTAATCAACCCAGTATTTGTGGGCAAGTAGATGATGGGAAGCCACTGATCAAGGAACAAAATGCCAAGTGCGCGACCCTCAGGACCAATCAGAAGGCACCTTGGTACCCCCTTGTTTCCTGTCCTGCAACCAAGGCCCCTATCACAGACAAAAGAGGACACACAAGGAAGACCCAGCTCTTCATTCTCATGCCAAAAATCCATCCCTGACCTAGTTCCAACCCATTTCCCGTCCTCTCTCCCATTCCTCTTGTAGATCTCATTCTCCTCTCCTTCCCCAAACCTACCACCTTCCCTCTTCCCATCCTTGTACACGTCTCCCTAATAGAGGATTTGTTTCTTTGATAGAAGCAAATAAAAAACCTATTATAGAGGCTTCTACCCTCAGCTCAAAAGCTCTGTTGCACAAGATTCTGACAGATAAAGTCCTGATGAATAGGAATCCACTTTCCCAAACTACAAAGCATATGAGGAAATAGCCCTCTGTGAGTGAAGATAAAACTTCAACTTCTCACCAGAGCATTGAAGTCCCGAAAGGTCTGGCCCCCTTGGGAGCTCACTCCTTATTCTGAGCTCCAGGTGCATAGACTTTCTCTGAGTTCTTGAACTCAGCAGACCTTTCCCATCTCAGAGCCTAGAATCCGCTGTTCTCTCTGACTAGCTTCTAATAATCCTGTAGGTTTCAGCACAAATGTCACTTTCTCAGAGAGGCCTTCTCTGACTCTCTAATCCAAACTAGGTTCCTCCCCTGGTTCCTTACACTTGCTCATAGTATTCTGTCCTTTTTATTCCTGGCACTGAACATTTTAAACTACAGTTTTGTGTTTATTTCTTCATTGTCTGTGTACCTACTTAGACCACGAGCTCCATGGAGGCAGGGCCTGTGTCTAGCTTGTTTGCCTCATTATCTGGCATATGGTGGATGCTCATATTTCTGTGGAATGTGTGAAATGCATGCATACATGTGAGGTTTATAGAAACATCTACCTTGAGTAGAGGATGACCATCTCATTGGTGCTGAATGGAGAACCATTAGATTAACTCATACATAATGCCCCAGGGAAGAGATGACCCCAACCACTGAAAATTACCAGCATCTGGCCCCAGAAAGGATGTTGTCATCCATTCTGAGGGGAACAATACACAGCTGTGGTCCATTCTCATGCCAGAATCTCATTCTCATTCCTTGCATACCTGCCTTTCTGGCCAAGAAATAATGCAATAACCTCCTAACTAGGCTCTTTGCCTCCAATCTTACCTCTTCTAAATACATCAATAACTACTTCTAGGATGTCCTTTCACTGTGTATCTGGTCACTCTGCTTCTTTGCTTCAAATCTTCCAACAGCTTATAATTCATTCAATTATTTGACAAACATTTTTGAGAGCCTGTTTGTTTTAGGAACTATTCTAGGTGCTGGTGATACAAGTAGAAAACAAAACAGACAAGATCCTGTTCTGGTAGAACTTACATTCTAAGGGAGTAAGGCTAAGTTCCCACCAGATAAAGCTCCAATGCCTTCTCTTGGCATTCAGGGCCCATCTTTGTGTCTTTTCTCCACCTGCACCTCTGGACACCACTTTTCAATCACTCTTTACCCAGGTACACCTCAGGTAAAGACACTGAAGGTCAAAGTGTCAGGGGGAAGGTCTTATACAAAGACATAAAACCACAAAGCACTGAAGTTGGGATTCAATCCATATATGATGGCCACAAAGCCTGGTGCTCTGGGATGTATATTCCAGGTACTGGGCACACGGTAGGGGCTCAAAGCTACTTCTTGGTGAACTTATTTCACAGTCTCACATTCATTTTTCCTCCTTTAACACCATCCCAGGATGGGACATACTTCTTCTGGCTAACCCAAACAACAGATCATAGAGTTTGCCTCCAAAGATTCTAAGACCAGGTCTAATGGTAACCCTATTCAGTGGAGACGCAGAGTGAGGGACAGGTGGGGCTTGAGAGGGCTTTGCGAGCTGAGGAGACTCTGGGGGCTCCAGGTTTGTTATACTCCTGGGTTTCTGGGGTCTCTAAGGATTCTGCGGACTTGTGTAATTCCAGGGATAATGGGGTCTCCAGGTATGAATGTAGTTCTCACAGGCTTTGTCAGCTCCTGTTTATCAGCTCCCGCTTATCTTTTCCTGGAAGTTTAGGGTAATGGGTGCTGCAAAGCAGGGCAAAGAAAGAAGGATGTTAGAACAGATCTAGAGGTGAGGTATCAAATCTAAAAGGACAGAATTCTGTCGCTCCCTTTGAGCACAGAATTAAGGCAATGTGGAGCAGGCATTGGATTCACCTTTCCTCACAATCCCATAGTTGGAGCCTGCAACCCTGTCTTCTCCTGCTGATCCTCCCTGTACATTCCCAGCACCAGGCACCACCTGACTGTTCCCCAGACTCCTCTGGGAAGTTTTTCATGACTTCTCCAAGTAGGTTCTGTCCTTCCATCCTCCGAGAAACCATAAGCCCTGGCTCAGCACAGTTATTGCGAGGGTGCCTTCCCCACCAGCCTGGTTGCTCTTGAGAGCAGGGTCTGCATCTGATCTGTTTCTGAGACCCCTGCATTGCCCAGGATGGAGATTGCGAGACACTGCAGGAAATGCTGGTGGAATTTAACAAATGCATGATTTATCCACCCAAGGAGGGCAGCAGGGCCCTTGTGGTCTTAGAGAATCGTAAATGGTAAATAACTGTCCCTTCCAAGCCCTGCTGAGGATATCGGGTGCAGGAGGATAAATGCAAGAGTGACCTGGGCTTGGCCTGGTCTCCAAGCACTTCAGGCTGACTTGGGCCTTGGCATCTGCAGACTGTGCTGACTGCAGCCTGCCACACAGTCAGAGACCAAACCCTTTGGTTTCCGCTCTGATGCTGCAACCGCTGAGAGGTTCTCCTAAGCCTCTTCTCAATGGCGTGTGGGTGTGTGCATACTTTGCTGATTCTAATTACCCTTTAAGTTGTTTCTCTTAATTGTCTTCCCCACTCCAGGCCTTAGCTTCATTATCTATAAGATGATCTGCAAGCACATTCAGGCATTCTAAATGTCCTATAGGACTGAGAATGATAATTCCTTTAAACCCTGTATGTGCCTCTCCTCATGGGTCTTACTACCATTATTCTGATGGACTCGATTCCAAAAGCAATGGGTACTCACCAATATCCGGCTCTCAGAAGATGCGGTGATTATGGATTTTTCTGGTTCTTCAGGCTTCAGAGACATCTTGGGTTCTTGGCATGCTCTGACTTTAGGGCTCTTTTCTGCTTTGATCTCCCCAATTTTCTTTGCCTGCTTCATTCTAATATGTTTCACTCTATGGAAATGATCCTCCTGATCAATTCTGGAGCTCCACCTCCCTGCACCCCCAAACGGGCTCTGGTCTTGATCAGAAGTTCTGGTTTAGAGCCTCAACAATGCTACAGCTGGCCGTGTTATCTACGGCGAGCCACACAACTCTCTGGGAATTGGTTTCATACTCTGTGCAATGCGGACACCTTGCTTATCAGGCTGTGGGCTCAGATGAGGTCAGCTATGAAAGGGCTTTACAAACTGAAAGGACTGTTGTTGGTCTTTACATCCAGCTGACTATACTTTGAAAATAGCTTCCCAGTTTGCCCTGCCACCTGCTCCTCTTCTTTTTCATCCCTGAGAGTCGGTCACTCCCAAGTCCCATCTCTCTGACTGCCCCTCGTCACTTGCCCTGACTCAGGCTTGGCTCAGACCATCGCACCAGCTTCCTGTCTGGCCTCCAGCTTCCTGACTCTTGCCCCCTGGTCTCTGTCCCACCCCAAACTCATGCTTTCCTTCCCAGCTTAGCAGTCTTCTGTGGCTCCCAACAGGATTAAGCCCAAGACATCGGGACTGGCCAGGGTCCCCCTGCTGAACTCGCTGGCCTGACCTCTGGCTACTCTGCTCTTCTCACTCTAGGCTTCTAGCCGATATGTTTAGCCAAGTTTCAAGAGTCTTTATGAACCAACACCAAGAACCCTCTCCTTTTTCATTTTTAATCATTGATGTCACTCTCAATGCATCTGACACTGCACTGGAAATTGCTCAGATGTGTCCCTAGGCTCTGCATATACTATTTCCCACCAAATAAATGAGTGCTCAGCCCTCCGGGCCCACTTCAGCCAGCAACCTGGGGACTCTGCTGGTGTCTCTAGGGCTGCTGCTCCCTCTTTTGCTTTCTTCTTTATGAAATTCTCCAAAAGCCTGTGTCTTTGGGCCTGTTTTGTGGCCCAGCACAGTCCTGATGGCCCTGGATTGTGGTGACCTGTTTTGCACCTCTTCCTTTTGCCAGACCCTCAGCTCCGCAAGGACAGGGGCCCTGTCTTTGCCTTCTCTGTGCCAGCACCACAGCTGGGGCCTGTGGGTAGCAGACTCTGGGAAAGGCTTATGGGTGAATTTTGACCCCAGTACTCACACAAGAGGCATGAGGCAGAGGTAGAGCAGCGCAATCACAATGACTCCACAGACAACGCCCTGGATCAGCCCTTTCATGAAAGTCGGAGGAACCAAAGAACTCCTTCCTGGAAGCAGAGGGCATGTGAGAAAGGCTTCTCTCCGAAGACCTCAGAATCAGAGCCAAAGCTCTGCTCCCTCCCCTGTTCCAATGCCCATCCCCATCGGCTCTTCCTCACCCAGTCACTGGGGCCCCTCTGCCCTCACTTGACATCAGTAGGATGCTCAAAGCATGGGCTCCACTTGGGTTCCTCCCCTCACAGAGAAGTCTTGTGCCCGTTTCTGGCTGCTCGGTCAGGCTGATAGTGCTGTTGGCCCAGGGGCCAAGCATGGTGGAATTCACCTGGATGCCTCCATGTGTGCCATTCACACCCATGAGAACACCTCCCATCCACCACTGCACGTAGGGTGTGGGGATCCCATGGAAGGAACAGCTGCATTGCAGAGTCTTCTCCAAGGAACAAGAGGAATAGAGCAGCCTGGCAGGTGCTGTGGAGAGGGAGAGTCAGGAGTCAGCAAGGCATCCTGACTCCTCCTCCGCTTCCTCCTGGACCCAGCCTTGTCCTTATTTATGATTCATAAGGAGCTTCACACAGACTTTCTGGAAGCTCAGGAGTCAGGCCTCACAGATCAGTTCCCCTTCATCCTCTGTCCCATCTGGCCTGAACCTGAATGCTTGACCTTCTAGACTGAGGGCAAGGGAATTTTCTGAGGATCCACATTTCTTATAATCCCTTATCTACTCCCCCCAACCCCAGGCTAGACTTCCCAGCCTCGGCTTCTACTTCATCTCTCTTCTTCCCGTCCCCAACTTTCCCCTCAGGCTCTGCCCTGTCCCAGCTCCATCTGTGATCAATTTCTCCCTCCATCACTTACTGTCTGGATGCTGTTGGGCAAGTCACTTTCCCTCTCTTTGCTCTTTCCTAATCTGAAACACAGGGATATTCGCTGAACCTGTGTCACACTATCATTGCATTGAATGCCCTCAGGTTTGCAGTATTCCTAGCTCAGTGCGTGGTCAAGCATTACCCATTCAATAAATAGAACACCTCTCTAGATTTTTTTCTTCCCAATCCCAAGTGGCCTTCGATTGAGCATTTGTCTTAAGCAAAGATTGCAAGGCCATTTTCTAGATAAGAACATTTAGAACTGCCTTGCTCTATACAGAATAGGTAGGACATGTTGTCCATTTGGTGAATATCATGGATTAATAAGGAACAGCTCGTTAAGGTCTCCAATAATGAGGACTCGGTCCATAGAGTTTTCACATACTTTTTCATTGGAGTTGTTCGAGGTTACTGGAAGAAAGGGGTAATTTTCCCCTAAACAGTAGCCCTTGATCTTGGACTTCTCATCTGGGTCACTTGGAGGGGGGATTAAGAATTTGCAGGGGACTGTGATGCACAGCCTCTCCCCTACTGCTGTCCTCTGGATTATTTACTTTTACCATCTGGGAAAGCATACCAGTGGAGAGCGACTGACATGCTGAAAACCTGACTAACCCTGGAGCTCCCAGTGTGTGCTAATGATATCTGAAACAGCGCCTATGCTCTCATATCTTCATACCACCCTGACTGAGCTCCCACCTTCACCCCAACTCCACTCTCTGGCCCAATGTGCTATTTGCCCTAGATACCCCCAGCCCTGCCAGAATCTGGCACACCAGTGTCTAATCCATATTGGTTATTGGGTACCCTACACACTTATGTCCTCTCTTCATACCCCCACAGCCCAACCCACCCCTGGCCCTGGAGCCTCGGTTTCCTCAGACATCTCTTCTGTCTGCTGCTTATCATCCCACTCACCCAGTGGTAGCAGTGGCTGCACCATCTGCAGCAGAGATAGTTCTCAGGAACAGGAGGGGCCCAGGGCCTTTACTACGGCTGCTCTGACATCACAACCATATGGTTCAGAAGGGATGAGATGATGAGTAACTGAAAGAGGATATGAGGGTGGGAAGAGTAGAAAGTCTTCTTAGCAAGCTAGGGGCTTCAGTCTCTTTGGTCATCCTGAAGGCCTTTTCACCCTGAGAAGCAGGAATTTCCCGGGATAAGATGCTCAAGAGCGTCTAGGGACGGGCAACACCCCTGCTATCCTCTGTGAAGCCCCAATGCCATGTCTCCTTTCTTCTTTCTCCTCCAGTCTTTCATTCCCAGTCCCAGCCTCCTTGGGAGGGACTCAATGACCAGGTCCTTTGGGTTCTTTCTCAAAGCTAATGGGGATCCATGGAAGGGTTGTGTACCATGGAGGGACATGATCAGGTCTGGGGCCCACGTGAAAAATGGCCTGGAGGGGGAGCAACTGCAGTCCAGGTGGCCAGGGAAGAGACCAGTGTGGTGGTCTGGAATGAATGACGCGCTTGAGTTGGTGCATGAGCTGTGAGGGATGCAGGGGACAGGACAGATTTAACAGATCTTTGGGAGAATGAAAATGGATAGGAATTTCCATTGCTGATAGGAAAAGTTCCAAACTTCCCTGGAAATGAGGTTCTCCATAATTTTGCCTCAGCCTTGCCGTATATCTCCCTGTGCCTTTGACAACATTTTGCATGCCAAAGGAAAAATGCTGCCTTTTCTAAATTTCACTCTAAACAAACCTCTCCCATCACTCAGGGAAATCCCCCTTTTATAGCTTTTCCTCTTGCAGCTCCCCTCTACCCACATTCAAATCCTAGAATTTCAAACCTGAGTTCAATACCACTTCCTACACGCAGCCTTTCCTGATCTCCCTACCCAGTCAGAAGCAGGTAACCTCTCCCCTCCCAGAGTTATCAAGTTATTTTTTCTGTTCTTTTCTGAGGAAAATCAATTTTTTTCCCTCATAGTAGAGTTATTTGTTTCTGTGCAAGTGCCAGACACCAGCCGTTACCCGTCCTGCACTCCGTTACTAACATATCCAACTTTGTTAATGGGTGCAATATTGCAAGCTAAAGCACTCCTTCGTCTACCCTCCTGTGCAGTTAAAGGAGACCATGTGACATTGTTTTAGTGGAAGTGAGCTGGGAATTCCTGGGAAAGTTTTGCCTTCCTGATATTGTCGTTTCCTTCTTCCTTGTCACTTCCTTCTTTTTCCCTAGAATATGGATGTGATCCTGGAGGTGGAGCAGCCTTTTGGCAACCATGAGATAACCAGGAGGATGAAAGTCACTCATTAAGGATGTTGTAGCAGAACAATTCAAGGAGCTTGGTTCCCTGATGGCCTGTGGAGCTGCTACACCTATCCTGCACATCTCCTTATGTAAGGAAAATGAGCTCTCATTTGGTTAGGTCACTTTAGTTGGGAAACTAATGAAATAATCTTACTAAAGAATCTACCTGAGAGTGACCTCTTTAAGGGAAGGCTCTACATCAAATAGACCTCTGTGCCCTCCATAGCGCTTAGAATTATCTTGTTTGATAGTCACTGATAAAATGTTCAAATATTAATCTCACCCTTCTTGAAACTATCTCCCTCCTACTGTTTTTTTTTTTTTTTTTTTGAAAAGCATTGACTTAAGAGTAGGAGCCCTGGCAAACCCAGCCCTGATTATGTAAGCTATGCCACTGATTCATTGGAAGACCACAGACAAATCCTTTTCCTCTCTGGGCCATAAGTCCCTCATCTCTGCACCAATGTCTGGTAAAAAGGCAGGATGAGGGGATGCGCCCCCAGTTTATAATATTTTGTGGCAGACACTGCTGGCTGTCTGACCCAACAGGTATGTCAGCACCATTATCCCCGTTGCCTCCACTACAGTGGCTGAAAATAACAAATATTACTGTTCTCAGGTTCCCTTACATGTCCCAGTGGTCAGGTGACCCAATTGTGATCAAAGAATCATCAGTATACTTTAAAGAATAACTTTTCAACCATATCAATATTTTACTGTTCAAAAAGTTCAGTTAAACCTAGAAGGGGAAAAAAAGAAAACTCTAAAATTGAACAAAAACAGGATTAAGTGAAAAAATGAAAATAATGATAACACAACCACTGGAAAAATGCCTATTTCAAGTAACCTCTGAACACAGTGCTCTGACTGTACTGTCTTAAGGGTGACATATTCGAGGGACAAAGAAAACTTAATCTTCACATGGTATGTGTATTGTTATCAGTAATACTGGTATTGTAATTTTGAAACTATCTTTTAAAGATTTTCACGGTAAGGAAAAAGATAAGTATAAAAGACAGTAATTTAAGAAAGTAAAGTTAAATTTTTATTGGCAATATAAATACAAACCCTTGGTTTAAAAAACAAATTCTATTTCTGTATTCTGTTCATGGAAACAGCCTAGAAGCAATGATATAGCAATGTCCATAGCAATAAACACAGCTCACATCTAGATCTTGGTTTCTAAATAATATTCATCAGTGTGCTGGAGCCTGAGTAAACCAGCTTATAAGAACTGATTATTAAGTTTTCAAGAATGCTGCAGTCGTTATTAAAAATTAAATTAAGTAAATCTTTAGTTATATTGAAAAGAAAGGTTATAATTACTCAAAACTGATTACTTCCTAATTTTTCTAATGCATTTTACTCTTATCTATGTTCTTGAGGTTATTTACATCTTCTGTATCAATATGATGGAAATACTACATAATGGTGTTCTACTGTGTGTCTTCCTAATTCCACATCATGGGTTGATAGCTTGAAATTAACTATAGAGAGAGTATTTACCAGTGGAAATTGCTAATACTACAATTCGGGGCTTTTTTTTTCCCTTTGAGATCTGGTTATTAAATATTTACCAGCACACAATAACTAATATTTCCCACTCAAAGGAACCCATTCACCTTGGAACTGCCATCCATAAGCCAAACATCTCTTTGTTGGTCGATTGGGAGCTATTCATTGGCACTACCCATTCACTAGCAATAGGATCTGGCAGCGCCTCAGGCGGTTTACAAAGTCGGTGCTGGGGGAAAAGAGGCCACCTGCTCGTGAATACAATGAGTACTTCCTTGAATTCCTGTAGTAGCATGTTTATCTATAAACCATTTCCATTTCATTATGGAACTCTTCTGGGCATGGCCTTCCTTATTATTGTGTTTGTCCAACATTACCAAAGATGTCATGAGAATTTCAGGTTTCAGGTGACGGGGATCAGGGCAGGCCTCCCCAAGACGTGCTACTCTGGTATGCAGATTATTTCGAGCTGAAGACAATAAAGTCTCAGAAGACTCTGAAAGAAACTTTGACCTCCCCCCTCACTAACTGCCAAAAAGGATTTAAGATAGAAGGCCTGTCCCCAGGACAGGCCATCACCATAAATAACTCTGGGTATGGATAGACTGGGAGGGTCCTTGCTAGGCTCATTCTTATCAAAGTTCTCTTTACCAAACATTTGTAAGGAAATGTACATTTGTAAGGAAAATCTCTGTTTGTAAAGGTATCTCCCTCTCTGTACTGGGAAGAGTGGCAGATGACCTCATCTCTGGAAACTTATCAGTACAGAAGGTGGGGACTTAAATCTGCATAATAACCTTAGTCTTGTTTACTGTGCTTTTCTGGTAATCTCCCATAACTGACTCCCCCCTTCCTCCAACATCCTCCTTTGTCTTTAGCTGGAGATAGTATTTAAGATGGGAACCTCCGCCATTTTGTCAAGTTACCCAGCTTTTCTGGGTCTCTCCCATGTATACATGTTATAAAGCTTTGTTTGATTTTCTCCTGTTATTCTGTCTCATGTCAATTTAATTTGTACCCTGGCCAGAAAGGACCCAGAGTGGGTAGAGGATAGTCTTATTTTATTTTATGGATTTTAGGATTATTTTATGTCCTTCAGTCATAGGGGCCGTTTCAATTAAAGCCCCAATAGCCAGCTAGTTGTCTTTGTATTGGAAATTTTCTGGTCAAAAATCCCAACAGTCGCCACTGGGTGGTGCTCACTGGCTTTGCATAAACTCCAGTCTGCGTAAGGATTCCAAGACTTTTTTTAAAGTAGTTATATGGATAGGGCTAGCAATATTCCCAGATACAGAATATGTCTTCCAAAATCCAAACAAACGAATCAAACACTGGGCTTCTAACACTTTTTTTCCACCAGGTATCCTGTACTTTTCAAGTTAACAACCTTCGTGGGCTTAGGCAATCTTATTGGTTCCCATTTAGCATGTTGGATCAACATTGGTTGAAGGGAGTATTTACGTGCCTCCTGTTTTATAATACCAGGAAGGGGAAATGTTCCCCGGTCAGACACTATCTATTTACATTCAGGTAAAGGAGGAGACACAATGACCTCACATAAAATCTGTTCAAACATTCCAATTTTCATCCAAACTCTCACCTTAATCCCATCAATCCTTGCATTCCCATATCTTCCCAATCTAACCATAACTCCCCTTAGGACTCACCAAGAGGTTTTAGAATTACAATGCATGGGCTCCCACGTTAAGGAGTCCCAGAAACATCTCTTCTGACCATTTTACCACTAATGTGCATAAGGCTTTGAGTTCCCAGCTGGGGATGGGGCCAAGGAACCTGGGCCCTTTTATTGATCTTTTTTTTTTTTTTTTTAAAGATTTTTTTTTTTATTTATTTTTTCCCTCCAAAGCCCCAGTAGATAGTTGTATGTCATAGCTGCACATCCTTCTAGTTGCTGTATGTGGGACTCGGCCTCAGGATGGACGGAGAAGTGGTGCCTCAGTGCGCGCCCGGGATCCGAACCCGGGCCACCAGCATCGGAGCGCGCGCACTTAACCACCAAGCCACGGGGCCGGCCCATATTGATCTTTATCTTGATTAGATTATGGGACCATCACCTCAGGCAATTTCAAGTCAGGTTTCTCATTGTCATATTTGCCTTCTGGTTTTTTAAAATTCCTCTAAACTAGGGTAAACAGGGCAGACTTGATTAGGGTCATTCAGTGTTGAGGGCTATCTGGGGTTCCCAATGGTCCACCCACTCTCCAAGA